TCATTGGGTTGATTGACACAGGGAGATAAGGGCACCGTTTGTACAGCAAATTTGGAAACAACCTAAAAGTGTGTCCTTCAGAAAACAATGAAATAAATTGTGGTGACACTTCTGGGTAAACATGGAAAGTCCCAGAGAAAGTCTGTCACCTTGTGACATTTGGGGCTCTCCCATGAAAAGGCTTCCACTGTACCACAGCAAAGTCAATAGTTAAGCAGTGCCTCTCTTCTTTACTCTCTCTGTCTCTCTCCTTCTCCTCTCCTCCCCTCTTTTCTCTTCTCTCTCTCCCTTTCCTCTCTCTCTCTCTCTCCCCCCTTTCTCTCTCTTTCACACACACACACACACACACACACACACACACACACACACACACACAAACACACACTCTCGTACCTTCATACAATGGGCCTCTTGGTGGCTCCCTACTAAATATGAACAGAGACCCCAGGATTAGTGGATGTTTGAAGAAAGCCTCCAAAATGAAAGACAAAGAAAGAAAGAAAGAAAGAAAGAAAAAGGCAGTGGGAGGAATCTACATGAATCAGAGATCTAGGAAGCACAGAAAAGGAAGGAAAAAGAATATAATTGGAACTGGCAGAGTTACTCCAGTGGTAGAGCCCCTGTCTAGCAAGCATGAAGGCCCTGAGTTCAAACCTCAGTACCACCAAAAAATAATATAATGGGAAAATGAAAAATGTAAGGTGTAAATCAATTAATATCATCTGTTAGCATTTGTATTTATAAACAGAAAAAAAAAGAAGTGGGGTGTGGTAGGGTGCATTTGTAACCCAAGAGGCCAGTCTCAATAAATTGTGAGACTCTGTCTCAAAATAAAACACAAACAAACAAACAAAACCAGAGAGAGCTGGGTGCTGGTGGCTCACGCCTATAATCTTAGCTATTCAGGAGGCAGAGATCAGGAGAATCTTGGTTTGAAGTCAGCCAGGGCAAAATAGTTCACAAAACCTTATCTCGAAAAAAACCCATCACCAAAAAGTGCTGGTGGAGTGCTCAAGGTGTAGGCCCTGAGTTCAAACCCCAGGGCAGGGAGGGAGGAGGACAGTAGAGGAGGGAGTCCTATATATATGCTGTGTCTGCATCAACTACCCCGTCAGGATCAGGGAGCTGGAATGGCTTAAACAAGGTTCCCTACCTTTTAGTAACTTTTGAATTTTTCAATATGATTGTGTTACCTATTATTTATTTATTTGCGGTACTTAAGTTTGAACTCAGGACCTCACGCTTGCTAGGCAGGTGCTCTACCATTTGAGTCACTCAGCCAGTCCTGTGTTACATATTTTACATATTTTGGTAGTAGTGGGGCTTCAACTTTGGGGCTTGAACTCAGGTCTCAAGCTTGGGCCTACCTGTTTTTAAATCTAATATTGAATTTTAAAAATAAAATTATCTGAGCTGTTTGCTGGTGGCTCATGGGGTGGTGGTGTGAGACTATCATCTCAACCAATAGCTGTATCTGGTGGCACGTGTCTGACATCCAGCTAAGGTGGTAAATGTAAATAGGATCACAGTCCAGGCCAGCCTGGGCAAAAAGTAAGACACTATCTCCAAAATAACCAGAAATAAAAAAAAAAAAGGGCAGGGGGATAGAGGTCTGGATGGAACAGTGGAGTGCCTGCCTAGCAAGCACGAAGCTGAGTTCAAAACAAATTTGACTGGTCTTGGTGGAATGGCTCAAGTGGTAGAGCACCTGCCTAGCAAGTGTGAGGCCTGAATTCAAACCCCAGTGCTCTCAAAAAACAAAACAAACAAAAACCAAATTTGACTGAACATGTGGCTCAGTTGTAGAGCACATGCAAGTACAAAGCCCTGAGTTGGATCCCCAGCACTGCAGAAACAAAATAAAACAAAATAGAAGAACAAATAAAATATTAGAGATAAGAGAGTTAATGCATTTTGGGGCTGGGGGAATGTCTCAAGTAGTAGTGTGCCTGCCTAGCAAGCCTGAGGCCCCAAGTTCAAACCCCAATTCACCCCCTACCTGCACACCCCCCAAAAAGAGAGAGAAGATAATGCATTCTGGATTGAATCAAATAGTTAAGCGTAACAACAGCAGCAACAACAACAACAAAATAAATCCTTTTTTTCTTTCAAAAAAGAAGAATACATACCATTTCCCAGAAAGTAAAATAAAACAACTTCTGGGGTGGCCAAGGAGACTTCATCTTTTTTTAATGTTTTAATATTTTGTGAGGAGAAGGCAAATTTTGATTAAAAAACAAATTGAGCACTAGTGGCAATCTAGTCAAAAATGTCTGGCACACTGGAGGTCTTTGGTGCTTCTGTTCCTTCCAGGAGACCCTAGGAGCCTTCTTGTCCTCTGCTCTCAGGATTGGAACAGCTGATTGTGATGGTGGCAGGGCTCCAGTCCTAGGCATAATTTGTCTCTCCTAATTAGAGGGCCTTTTCTTTACAAGCTGCATTGAGGAACACACAAGGTCCCTGAAATTAATTACTGGTTCCATCAGGTTTGACTCATGAGGATGGAGCAAGTTAATGAGTCAGTGTGGGAATGGCCCAGCTAGCTTCCATCTAAACTTCTAAAGCAGGAGCTGTTTGAAGAGGAAAAAACAACAGAAGAAAGCCTTTATTAAAGTGTGGTCCTAGTGCCTACCTCAAAACCCAGGAGGTACTTGTCAGAAATGAACCTTAGACCCTTCCCATGTCTTCTATAACAGCTTCAGGGGTGGCACCTAGAAATTCTGCCACCACCACCCCCGAGCAGGTAAATGTGGAAGCCAGCATCTCAGTTATACAAATATTTTATTTTTCTATAGTTCAATTCCCTCTATTTTGGGTCTTCAGTCTACCTGCTTGCAGAAAATTTTCTCTTACTCATTTCCAGGTGAACTCAGTCATCCTACCTTAACTGTCTGTGCGCCTGCCTCCACCATTGATCTAAAATTGGAATTTCTCAGCATCACAGCCTAGGTGGGATGAGGTATGTGTGTACAGGGAGAGTCCTCTCTCTGAGATTAATCCAACTGTATTTCTCATCTCCATGGTTCTCATGTGCCCTCATTTCTGCTCTGCTGTTGCTATCCTCAGGACCCACTGGCAAAAGCCAATGTGCCAGCTTTCCAAGCCACACCCCATGATCTAGGCTACCTAAATGTATCTGGAGCTCTGTCTCTTCCACATCCCCTGCATTTGACCAGGGAAAATGGGGATCACCCTTAAGCCAATGTCAAATAGCTTCCCTGGTTCTGCAACTAGGTTCCCCCCAGCCAGGAAAGGGTTGGGCCATGTGAGGGCTCTCTACCTGTTTGCATCTGTCTTCTTCCAACCCTCTCTGTTTTATATCCAGATACTGAGGCTTTTGAACTTAAAAGTATGGAATGTGATATCTTTGTTCTCTGACTAGAAAGTGGAGTGGACTCAGGGCCAAAAATCAATTGCCAGCTTCTCATAACATGATCTGAGACCCCCCATGGAAGGGGCTTTTTTCTTCTTTTTCACAAAGGTTGAGCCAGCCCAGACATCCTGTGTCAGTGCACAGGAACCAGGAATGTGGCTGCTCCTGGGAGGAGGAGGGAGCCAAGAGCATCTTAGATTGGGTTGATTCCCCTCACCCAGTTACTCGCTCACCTCCCCCAGACAGCTGGGAAATGACACCTCTGGTGACAGAGCCAGTCTCTAGGCTTCTGCTAGGAGGGGGTAGGGCACTGCAGTAGAGGAGGATCTCACACCCCCAGGCCCTGACGAGCCTGGTTGGGGGGAGGAAGATGGCAGCTCCTGTTTGTCTCAGAGATTAAGGCCACTAGCTTCCCTCCTCCCTTGTAGAGATGTCAGGAGCACTCCCCACCCCTCACTCCAGGACCACTGGGCCTCCCTTAAAATTCCTCCTTCATCCCTGAGGCTCTCTTTGAACACCCCATTAGATAGACAGGTCATTGATCCCACCTCTGGGCTCCTGGATCTGTTTAGAGAACCTAAATGGAGACCAGTCCAGGATGAATCACACCTGGAATAATCTCCTACCATGTTATCCAGATCAAACCATTTAACAAATATATCTATTTAGTGCCTACACATGTAATATATTTGGGGTTTAGAGAGAAGATGGAAAGTGGCAAAGTCATGCCTATGAAGCTAATCCCTATGTAAAGTAGTGCCTACAACGTGAATACTGCAGGTGTGGCTTTTGCCTACTGTCCTCTTTTGGCCCAGGTTATATGCCTGGAGATTGAACCCTCTCCTGCAGGAGTAGCTACCCCAGTCGGGGGCAAGCTAGATTTTGACCAGCCTGCAGCCACCGCGTGAAGCAACCCCACGGGGTAGTCTGTGCCTTCCTCCCTAGAGTCTTTAGCTTGCTTGACCTCAGTCAGGTCTGCTTGAACTTGACCTGCCAAGTACCCCCGGTCTGAATTTCACCTGTGAGGAGGGGTGTCTTTTGTAGCCTGCAGCCTCCCTCTACCCATTTGATTTGTTGATACCCTCGACTCAGCCGCCAGAGACTCCTTCAGACATCCACTTGCCAGGTGATGGGGTGAGGCCAGTTCTCATCACTCCAATCCACCCCAGCAGCAGGGTCCTGGTATTGCCCGGGCACCTGAACTGGTGGCCCCTTCTCATTTTCCACCCCAGCCCATTCCAGGTGCTAAAGGCGGGTCACTAGATGTTGGGACAGTGTGCAGGGTGAGACCTTGGGCTGTGTGGTGTGTGGACTGGTTTATCGGTTTTACCGACGAGGGGGGATGTGGTTTGGGGGCAGGTGCGGGCCCCGGCTGCGGTATGCGGAAAGAGGAAGGTGGCAGAAGTCTTGGGTATGGCTGTGGTCAGACAGGGTGTAGAGGCGGTGGGTTTAGGGGATCCGCAGTAGTCGATGGTAGGGCAGAGCCAATCCCGCGCACCCGCTTGCAAGACCCCAACCCCGCCGCGCCCCGCCCCGCCCCCGCGGGCCTCTCCTGACAAGTCGCCTGCCGCGCCCCGCCCCCGCCTGCAGTGCCCGGATGCGGGTGACGTGCGGCCGCCATCTTCCAGTCCCGGGCAGCCAGCGCCAGTCGGAGCCAGTGCGAGCTGCCGCAGCCGCTGTCACTGCCGCCGCCATCACTGCTACTGCCAAGTCCTCCGCCCGCTGCCCCCGCCATGTGAGTTGGCCGTCAGTCGCCCGCACCGCGCTGTCCCGCGCTGGCCGCCGCCCTGGGAACGGGCCCTGCAATGCTTAGGTCCCGCCCGTGCCCCCAGCGCCCGGGGCAGGCTGGCGCCCGTGACTGCGCGCGGGTGGCAGGGAACCCGCGTCCTGGGCTGGCCCGCACGGGCGATGGCCACGGGAGGGAGCGGATCCAGCATCCGCCCTCCCCGCCCCGCCCCTGTCACCGCGGTCGTCAGTCATTCCAGGTTGAGCCCGGACCGCGTCTGGGAGGTCGCCTTCATTTGACGTGCGGGGAAACTGAGGCCTGGAGTGGGGAAGAGGGCCTCCCTCAAGGTCACGCAGCTCATCTGCGGTGGGGCCGGAGGGAGTCCGGTGCACCCATCGGGTGGCCGTCCTCCCAAAAAGGAGAATCGGAGGGACGATGGATGGACAGGTGGATGGGCGGAGCCCTGGCCGCAGGGCCGGAGGCTCCAAGCCCTGGGTTTTAATCCGTTCCTGCTTCTCAGGTCTGCTACCGCTGCCACCGCCCCCCCTGCCGGCCCGGCCGGGGAGGGTGGCCCCCCTGCACCGCCTCCAAACCTCACCAGTAACAGGAGACTGCAGCAGACCCAGGCCCAGGTGGATGAGGTGAGTGTATGTGTGTGTTGGGGGGAGGGGAGATATCAAAGGTGAAGACAGTAAGCAGAACCTGGGGTTGGCAAACAGGTGTGGGGGCCCATTTGGGTTAGGGATGATGACAGTTAACACCTGTGGGTTTGGTGGTAGAGACATGCCATGCCCCATCTGTTTCCCTGTCAGCACGCACTTGGAAGGGCACTGGGGGGGTTAATCAGTCGTGCCATCTTGGGGTGTGCCAGCCAGCCCTGGGAAGGTGTGCTCTAGTGATGGAGGCTGCCTGCCTGAGGTCTCGCAGATAGAGGGTGTTGTTATGACATCTGAGATGTCTGGCTACCAGCAAACCTCTCACGTGTGCTTCTTGCCTGTCCCATTCTGTCCGTGTCCACCCTCCCATCCCCTCTCCCCACCCCATGCTAGGCATGTTCTGTGTGTGTCCTTGTCATATTAGCCTGGTAGTATCAGGTGCATTTTCCATGTATGGCACAATGGGCACATGTTCAAGGAGTGCTCTCCTTGAGGTGGGCCTTGGCACACTCCCTGACTCCTGGGCCCCTCCCTCAGGTGGTGGATATCATGAGGGTGAATGTGGACAAGGTCCTGGAGCGGGACCAGAAGCTATCGGAGCTGGATGACCGTGCAGATGCACTCCAGGCGGGGGCCTCCCAGTTTGAAACAAGTGCAGCCAAGCTCAAGCGCAAATACTGGTGGAAAAACCTCAAGGTTAGGGGCAGGGAAATGGGAGTGGGTAGGACAGCTGGTGGGTGAATGGGGGTGTTATGTTTGCCTTACTGACCCTCCTTTTCACCCCCAGATGATGATAATCTTGGGAGTGATTTGCGCTATCATCCTCATCATCATCATCGGTGAGTGGGGTAGGAGTGGCCTAGGGCCCTTTTTCTGGAGAGGTTTCCCAAGTAGATTCTGGGTTTTGAAGGTCATTAACCTAGTTTTTATGCTTCAGCACACATTTCAGTGCTAATAACAAATCTGATTCATCTAGAGCCAAAAACCTTCATGTTGTGTAGCCTGGTTCTGGCCAGTTCCTGTTAAGATTTTGGAAACAGGAAAACTGGGTGGATCCTCAGTGCTCCATTGGGCCTAAGAAACCCAGTTTGGGAGCCCTGGAATTGGGGAGTAGAAGACAAGAAAGACCCAGGGGCTTGGTACATGACCAGGAAGTCAACTGTGCGGCTTTTTGAGAGTTTGTGGTCTCACAGGCCCAGAAGATTAGGGGTCTTTGTCCTCATGGGCATATTGTGGAGCTGAAGGGACCTTGGAACCCACAGGTCCAGCACCTTTGTTTTACAGATGGAGAAACAGAGGCCAAGAGGGGAAGGGACACCAGCCAGCTGGGGAGCGGGGAGGCTTGGAACAGGGCCAGGCCTGACACACTGCTTTCTTTCTCTTTCTCTTTCTCTCTCTTCCCTCTCCCTCATCTTTCTTCTCTTACTCTCTCTCCACAGTTTACTTCAGCACTTAAATTCCCGAGGAGTCTGCCCGCCTAGAGAAGGGCCTCTCCCCTCCCCCCAGCCGTTCCTCCACCTCTCAGCCATATCTCTCAGACCCCCTCCCCTGGATCCGTGTGTGTGTCCCCGTGTGCGTGCCCCCTGTAAATAGCCAGCTGTTATTTATACATATATAATATTATATATATTTGGTCTGTTTGTAGTTTTATTACTAGAAGATTTTTCCGGTTGTCCTTAACACCCCTTCCTGAGGTTTCTATCACCTTCTTGCTCTCTCTTTCCCCTGCCTTCCCTTTCCCTCTCTTCCTCATTAGCCTCACGTCCCTTCATTTGCATCTGCTATGCAATAGTCCCTCTCCTCTTCTTCTTCCCTTGGATTTAACTGACCCTTCTTGCCCCTACTTCCCCCATGCAATCCCCTCCAAAACAAAAACACCCATCCAGGCCTCCCTAGGTGCATCTTTGCATCCTTTGGGAGGCTCTGAGACTGGCCCCACTTGGTCCTAAGAATCCCAAGTTCTTCTGGGGGTGTCCAGCATGTTAGCGTATCATTTGCATATAGACATCCCTTTTTGTTTCCTTTTCTGTTACATCACTTTTCTCTTCTCAACCTGTTTTTTACTGAGGAGTTGTAGTCCCCATTGGTCCTCGTGTCACACTTTCATTTGCACGACATTGGGGAGCCTGGGCTTTTGGGGAACCAGGCTGCTCTAGCCTCCAGAATTGCCCCTTCCTAGCCCCTCTAGTCCAGTTTGCCTCCCCTATCCCCATTTTCCAAACCTCTTGTATCCTTCTCTCCCTCCCCCCAGCTGGTATGTAAGTGTCTTGGAGTTTCAGTGTGTTATGATGGACCAATAATTCTGCCCTTTGGGGTCTCTCCCTACATTCCCGCTCCCCAGTTTTCATGTGGGGCACTCAACTGACATTCCCATGGGGTCTCCCTCCCTCCCATCTGCCTGATCTACCCCCTCCTCCTGCAAGGAGAGTTGGGGGTTGGCCACAATCTGATCTCTTTGGGAGGGGTGGCTACCAGTGTATGTGTGTATGGGTCATCACTGCCTTGGGGAGGAGTGGGACAAGGCAGAGAATCCCCCAATTCCTGCCTGAAATCTCTGGCCTCCCCCCTGCTAGAGGTTGGATTGAAAACCTTCCTCTCCAATTTGGGGGATGTTACCCCCATCACTGCCCAACTCCTCTGACTGCCCCCCTGTATTCAGGGTGGAGGTACTAGTCACTGCCAATGTGTGTATGGGACTTGCTGGATGATGGAGATCCTCACCCCTCTCCAGGGCTGTTGAGCCCAGAGAGAGAGCCGGCCCCTCATTGGGTGAAGTGATAGAGGAAGGGTCTGATGTCTTTTTAAATGGCACAGTTTTAGGGGTCTGAGGGTGCAGTCCCTTAACCTACCACTGGAGGGGACCCCTGAACTCTTTCTTCCCCCCACACTCCAGGTTTTTGGTGTGGAGGGGGAGCAGGGAGATTTAAACTGTCTTGTGAAATGGTAGGAGAGATGCTGGGGGTGGGGGTGCTGTGTTCTAGACCCCCCCATATTATCCCAGTGTCCCCTGCCTTCCCTCTAACCCCACCCCATGCCCCCAATTCTGTGGCACATCAGATTGTGAAAATGTACAATAAATGTGTAATGAGTAACCACGTATTGGTGTAAGGTTTTCTTTTCCCCCTGTGGTACTGGGCCTTGAACTTAGGGCCTCCTGCTTGTTAGGCAAGTGCTCTACTACTTGAGCCATACCCTAACTAGTAAGAATTTTTCTTAATCCGTGGTAAGGTATTGTATCTGCAGGTATAATGGGAGGGGTCTGGGCTTTACAGGAGACCCTAACCTTAAGTGTGATTCCCAAAGTGACTATGGCTGGGGGGCAGAGGGAGCATTAGGAGTTGCGAATGGGGAAGTAACACTAGGACCCTTATGTCAACCTGGTGAACTCCACTTCCCCTTTTCTCCCTGTAGATTTAACTTCTGCATAGTCCGCAATTGCTCTTGTGGTCATTCCTCCTAGGCCTGAAGTAGAGGCCATTTCTGTAAAGTATCTTCTTCTCTGTAGCATGTTGCCAACATCTAGAGGTCTTAATAAATAAAATACTTGTTGAAAGACTTGATGGAGTCCCAGCTGAATATGGCATGGAGCTGGCTGTAGATGGCGTAGTACTGTTGTCCTCTGTGTTGTATGACTTGTGACTCTAGACACTACCCTAAACTTGAGGTTCATTTGGTCCCTGATGTGGCACCACAGCATCCCTGTCCCTAGGCACTTCAACAATGAGCAGAGGCTCTTAGTTGACATCTGGAGGTCCAACCTGTCAAGGATGCAGCACTTAGATCCAGCTATACAGAAAACATAGGTTTTCCTAAACCTTTGGGCTCCTCAGAAAATTTATGTATTTATTTATATTTTTAGACAGGGTCTGCGTAGCTTTGGTTGGCCTAGAGTAGTCATCATCCTGCCACAGCCTCCTGAGTACTGGGATTACAGTAGTGCCCTACCATGCCTGGCCCTGGGGGTGCTTGCAGGCCCGTTCCCTGGAGATTCTGATTCAGGGGTTCTGAGGGGCTCAAGTGATCTTGTAATTTATGGAGGGCTTCCTATACGTTGAGATTTTGCGCTTCATCTCCTGAATCCTTTCTAGGTTTAGGGTTTCCATAGGCTTTAGGACACTCCTTAAGGTGTCAGAACCAGACACCTTATTGACTATGGTGTTAGTTCGGATAGGTTATGTAATCTCTCTGAATCTCAGTCCCATTTGTGAGGGGGTGGATAGTATGTGAGCCGGCCTCTTTAGAGAGTTTGCAAAAAACTCCTGACCTGGCCTACAGAAGACAATCAGGAGGCGCATTCCTCCTAACCATCATCGTCAGGATACGGCTCTTGAGATACAATAACTGCTTCACCCTAACGCTCCTTCCAGCTCTGAGTATCATCAGAGACTCAGGGCTGGAGCGCCAGCACCAGGAGCATTCTTGTCACGTCTGGGTCTCCCGCACAGTGTCTCCACCTACGCCATCGCCTCACATTTGCGCCTGCGCTCAGGTCACGCTCGATGCGCCTGCGCAGACTCCGCAGTCTTGGGTAAGTGTCGTCAAGGAAAATCCCCAGCTTCTGGGTAAACAAGTTGCCGCGTGAGAGCGCCTGCACGTGTCCCCTACTTCTCCGGACTTCTCAGCCTATGAAAATGCTGGGGGGGGCAGGATTGGCATTTGTGTCAAGACTCTAGGCAGGTCGGGGTTGTCTCTACAGCCAATAAGAACTTCGGGAGTGGGTAGGGGCGCGGCTTCCGGTCAGACTTCCAATCAACGCACCAGGGCGGCCCCACACTCACGTGGATCTCTCACTACCGGTTGTCATCCTGACCAATGGGAAGATGATGACGGCCGGAGTTGCCAATGGATGCTTTACCGGGGCCGGGCGACTGCACGAGGCGCGGGGCATGGGATGGCATCTCTAAGCCAATAAGCTTGGGGGGCGTGATAGCCCAGGCGGTGGGCGGGCCTGGCTGAGCCTGTGAAGTAAGCTTCTGTACGCCCCAGTTGTGAAGAAATTTGGATTCTGCTTGCACTCCGAGCGGTGAGTGCAGAGGGTGGAGAAATGAGGGGTAGTCAACGCGGTTTTGTTCGGGGTGATGTGTTCAGCCAGAAGGGGTGTTAATGGCATGGGGGGTGGGGAGGGATCATGCAAATGTGTGATCGCCGCCGTGGGGCGCTCTTTTGATAGTTGTAGACAATAAATGTCTCAAACAGCTCTAGAGCACTAGGATGGGAGTTACTGACATCAGATCCCTCATCGTCCTAGAGTGCCGGGACCCAATTGCCGGACGGGGTGTGTGTGTGTGTGACCAGAATCTCTCGGCGATCTGAGGGAGCTGAAGCACCTATTCCCAGGGAGGTATGCAGATGGGACCCCTGAGCGCTGGCGGGGGATGTTTCAGTTTGTAGCTGAGGTTTGAGTAGGTGCCTTAAGAACCTGGAATAGGCAAGAGAAACTCAGGTAGGGCAGGTGGAGGGCACCAAAGGATTGCCATAGTGACTTGAACAGGGGTGCTACCCTTTGCAGCTATGGGTGTCTTTCTCATGTGTAAAGGGTGGAATTGGGCCTCAGCTGTCCTTGAATAGAGAAGGGTTAGCAGTTTTTGGGTTCTATGGAGGAGGATATAGTAAGGGCTTGTGCAGATTGGTGGTGCACGCATCTTCTAGAGCCGAATAATCAGGCCTGTGGTAAAGTGGCCTGGGGATAAGGTGGAAAAGTGAAAAAGTAAGGTTCCTAGGAAATCACTGGGACTGGGGACTGGAGTTTGTGACTATGGGAAAAATAGGCTATGCTCATAAGTGTGTGTGGAGTACAGTGTCTTCAGAACAGGCCCAAGGCGGGAAGGAGGTGGGGGAGTGGAAGGGGGTTGGATGAAGCCTGTGTTCCAGGCATCAAACTTGAACTCAGTTGAATATTTGAGAGGTCCAGGTTTGCCAGTGCTGGAATGCAGCTCAGAGGTTGGGTAACACCGCACAGGTTTCTAAAGGGTAAGAAGCAGAATGAGAAGCCATTATTACAGCTCAGATTTGAACCCTGAGCTCCATTTTTTTAAGAGGCTGAGAACAGTGTTATGAGGCAGATAACTAAGGCAAGTTTAGTAATTTCTGAGACTTAGCTGGCTTCCATGAAATGGGATTAATAGTATCAAAGGTTGTTCTGGGGATTAAATAAGATTGATATATGTAAAGTGATTAGGCCAATGCCTGGCTGCTTCTTTATTTTCTTTTTGGCCCTACTGGCTCAAAGCCTTGTGTTTCCTAGGCTAGTGTTCTATCACTTGAACCATGCCCCCATCCTCATTTTTAAAATATAGCTTAAAAATAGCTATAGGGTAACAAAACAATAGTGACAGAGTGATTTATGTGAATGTTGTGACTGGGAACTAGTTTCACATTCGTATGTTTTTCTGCAAGTTTTGATGACTCCCCATTTCCTTCTTCCTGATTTTTCTGGTCTTCAGGCACCAGTCCAAATTCCTCCCCTCTATCCTTCTTCCAGGATCCAGGCCCCAGACTGGGCTACTTGCTGTGTCCCAGTTTGATTTCTTCATCCTAGGCCCATTCTCCTCCCTGTCCCTCCTCCCTCCCTCACTCTGCTGTCATAGAAACAAGAGATTCAGGCTCTGAAGGGGGCCTCTGGGAAGGAGCAAAGGTGCGTGTTCTCTGGCAGAACTTGGGCCTCCAACATACCCGCCCTGACTCTTTGGTTCTGAGCCAGCAGCTGTGTACAGTTTGGGAAAGGGGAAAAGCCAGTGGCAGGAGAAGTAGGAACAAGCAGAAGGACAGGCAGATGCATGCAAGTCCAGAAAAGAAATCCAGGCGTTGGGACGGAGGGAGTGGGTCCCCTTGCTCCTAACCCTCTCTCCAGGAATCACTGGCTTTGGGACAGGACGGCTGTCGTTGGGCTGGGGGAGGCGCCCAGGCTGAGTGCATGTCCTGGGCCATCAGCCAAGAGAACACGATGTTCCCAAGTGCGCTGGCCGCCGCCCTCAGGGGCTGGCCGGCTCCCAAACCGCGGTCTCTCCAGCCTCCCTGCCCCACATTCCCTGGCAGCCTCGCCCCGCCCCCTTCCTCCGCTTTGACGTCACCGCTGTCTCCCGCCCCCTCTCCTCCATTGACGGCAGCAGAACCTGGTTACTGTGGGGACTGAGACAAGACAACCGGGCCTTGGGAACAGGTGGGGGCTGCTGGAGCGTTAAAGCCTTTTGTCTATCCAAAAGACAGATGTGGAGGTGGAAGTGGGCAAGCAAGGACTGCCTGGGTCAGAGGAGATCACACCTAAGTCCCTGAGGAGATCTGGGGAGGGAGAAAAACTGTTTCCAGAGCAGAGGATCTGAAAAAAAAAAAAAATGAGATTAGGACAGGGCCATAACATGGGGGCGGGGAGGAAGCAGGAATATTTTCAAGGAGAGGAGGATGAGAATACAGTCTCCTGTGTCTTTTTTATGTTTTCCTGCTTCGGTTTTTCTGGGTTATTTTATAACACCTCCGTGTTCCAGCTTTTCCACAGAACCCCCTCCTTCCCCCTTCCCCCTCCTTAGGAAATACCATTGTTAAGGAAGACTTAGGCCACGTGACAGTGAGGGGCGTGCACCCACAGTTGATTATGTCAGCAGCTGTGTGGGGGCCTGTTCACTTGTTACCCACGTTTCCAGGGAGCCCCGAGAGGAGCTACTCATCACAGTCCTGGTTGGAGAGGCTGTGTCACTGCTGCTCTCTTGCACTCAGTCCGGCACTTTATTCTCCAAATCAAGCCCTGTTCTCTTTTTAGGACTCAGTGTTCTTTTAACTTCTTTAAAAAATAATTTGTAACCTCGTCTCCACCTCTGAGGCCTCCTCTCCATACCTATCCTTGTTAAAAACAAATATGTTTATTGATCACCTACCATTGTCAGTCAGGTCCTGTCCTGGGCGCTGGAGAGAAAGTAAATGAGACAGATAAGGTCTCTGTAGGGTCCCTGAATCTTGGCTTTTTCTTTTCCAAGCATGGAGGATATGAAGTCCTTGCCACCCCACCTCTGTCAAGGGCCTCAAGCTGGCTTTTTCTTTTTGTTGTCCCCTTCCTCCCTTTGTAGTCCTGGTTTACCATTCCCCTTTTGGGGCAGCCCTAAGATTGGGTGGTTGCATCCTCTGGAGAGAAGAAACACTAGTCACCAAGTAGGCTTTCTGGAGACCTTTGCTTCACCACCCCCATTGGCTCTGGCTGCCCTTTCCATTATCTGCACCTTCCCAACACCCAATCCCCTCCCAACCACACGTCTACCCTCAAATGCCCTCCTCCTAGGATTTGAAGTGACAGAGGAAGGGGTTGGTTTCCCTATGTATGAAGACAAGGCTGTGAAGAACCCAGGAAAGGCCAAGCCAATTTGTTTTGTTTTTCCCCCTCCGGTCAAGGAGCAGACATTTCATACAGCTTGGTCGGGCTCCCGAGGTCTGGGTTCCTTTTCCCTGGCCAGACTAAGATGTCTCGTTTTGCATGCTGGTCAGTTCACTAAGTAGACATCTCTTGAGCACCCACCGTGGCCAGGTATTTTCTCCGGAGAGGGGCTGTTACCTCTCCTCACTTTGTTTTAATTATTCACTGTGCACGGAATCCTGCGTCCATTGGCTGGGCGTTGTATGAGACCCTTCAGCTCAGCGCCAGCACCCAGGTCCACGTGCGCCCGTGTGTGTGACACAGCCCTGACCTCAGTGGGTGCCCGTAGCCAATCAGGCGCCGGGAAGAGATCCCCAGCCAATCGGGGGCGGGGCCTGCGGCTCCCCGGGCAGGAGGCCAATGAGGGGCAGTGCCTGGCATTATGCAACCCGCCTCTCCGCCTCGAAGAGCTTCTGCTCGGTTGCGGGGTGGAACGGCTGTGGGCAGGCGGCTGGAGGGCGCTCGTACGGCAAGGTAGGAATCTCCACGGCCACCCTAGGGTCGGTCTCCGTCCCCGAGCCGAGCTGCCGCCACTTTGGACTTGATTGGCCACTTTCAGTCCAGGAGCTCAGACAGCACAAAAATTTTACGGTCTTCTTCATCGCTGTCCACCCCCTCCCTGTCTCTGGGGACCTAGGTGATTCTCGCAACCCTGCACCGGGTGTCTGTACTCTCGATTCGTTCGTCTTATCTCCAGCTTTGCTGCCCAGTCCCAGCCCTCCCGGTCCTAGTCACCCCCCCCCCACTCGGCCTCACAACAGACCCTCAGCGGGCATGCTCCTACTGTCTTTCTCATCACTGAGGGATCCTCGGGTTTGCCCTGGTACCAGGACCCCTTCAGGCTTTCGACGCTCCCCGCCCTTCCCCTCCAATTCCTGGCCCCGCGCCGGTCGTGATGTCAGTTCTCTTCAGGCTGGAACATCCCGTTCCCGGCGCTAGTTCCTGCTGTTGGCCACAGCCTTTTCTCCTGGCGCTCAGAAAATGCTTGGGGACTGGGGGTGTGGTTGGATAGGGAGTAGGAGAAAAACTATCTGCTGGCTGTTGTGCGTCCCTTGCTCAAAGCTTCGGATGCGGGAGGGGGGAAGAGGGTGGCTAGAAAAGTAGGGGATTGAGAAGAGAGAATTCCTGGGTCTTTGACTGTGGCAGTTACCGGCTTCAGTTCTGGTGGTCGGGAGGGGGACTTGGAGCCACAGAAAGGAAGGTTGTGTGGTATTGACCAGAATGACTGGGTCCCGGAGAGAGCCAGGAAAAGGGACGTTTGCGCGGAGGGCGGAGGCGGTTGTGTTTCGACCTGGGGAGATCAGGACTAGCCCTTGAAATCCCTACAGTCGGCCCTCTTCATTCGGCCACACGGCCGCCAGGGCCTGGGGATATGCTAGGGGTTGGCAACCCCCAGCCAGGCCCACCAGTGTGGCGGTGGGTCGTTCCCCCACTTCCGTGGTGAAATGGGGGAGGGGTCGCGCCTCCCCTCCCGCCCCAGCTCTTGTGGTCCCTCCAGCAACCGCTGAGCTCAGCGGCTGACGTCGGTTTCCCTGGCGACCGCAGCGGCGGCGGAAGCGCGTGCTGGGGGCCGCGCACGTCGGCGCGCATGTGCAGCGGGGGGTGGTGCCGCCCCCGGATAAAATTAGCCCGGAAGCCTAAATATAGGAGGCGATGGGTTCACACCCCTTGCTCCATTGCTTTGGAGTCCCAGGACAAGTGGGGGCTTCATAAGAAACTTGCGAATGGGAACCCTCCACAAGCTTTGGCCCACAGTTATAGTTCTAGTCGACTGTTCAGGCTCCATTTACCCACGCCACGCTGGCAGGGGTTGCGGAGAGAAGTCCCAGAGAGTCCCCCTTGCCATCTACCGCAACCCTACGGGGACGGGAAACAGTGTATCTTGGCTTCCTATGACAGGATCCAGGCCTAGGTCCCAGGAGCATGGGGCAAGCAGGGGAGAGTTTGGGTGAAGCCCGCAGGTGCTGTGGGGTTAACAGCCCAGATTTTACTCTAAGTCCTCTTTCCTGGTCTCCCCCTTCAGGTGTTGACTGTGACCCAACTTCTCAACTCTCAAAGACGGACCTCCCACCTTACTCCCTCATCCAGGCCTCAAGGCCCCCCTTGTGCATCCGAGGTGGCCTCTCCACCTTCCCTGTTCTCTTGTCCTCCTCCCCATGGCCCAGACATGAGCGGTCCCTTAGAAGGGGCTGATGGGGGAGGACATCCTAGGCCTGAGGAATCCTTTTGTCCTGGAGGAGTCCCATCTCCTGGGCCCCCACAGCATCGGCCTTGCCCAGGCCCCAACCTGGCTGATGACACTGATGCCAACAGCAATGGCTCAAGTGGCAATGAGTCCAATGGGCATGAATCCAGGGGGGCATCTCAGCGGAGCTCACATAGCTCCTCCTCGGGAAACGGCAAGGATTCAGCCCTGCTGGAGACCACTGAGAGCAGCAAGAGGTGTGTATGTTTGTGTGATGCAGGGTCTGGAAGTGATGGTGTGAGCAAGCACAAGCTCACTTATGTTGCTGGTCACCTGTCCCTTATCTTGGGCTCTTGCTTCTTTCCTAGCACAAACTCTCAGAGCCCATCCCCACCTAGCAGTTCCATTGCCTATAGCCTCCTGAGTGCCAGCTCAGAGCAGGACAACCCTTCTACCAGTGGCTGCAGGTACATGGGGTGAGGGTTTGGGGAGAGGTCTAGGGGTCTGGACCACACTCTGGAGTTAATGTCTCTACCTTTTCCTTCCTTGTGGGCCTTGCAGCAGTGAACAGTCAGCCCGGGCAAGGACCCAGAAGGAACTCATGACGGCACTTCGGGAGCTCAAGCTTCGACTGCCGCCAGAACGTCGAGGGAAGGGCCGCTCTGGGACCCTGGCCACCCTACAGTATGCACTGGCCTGTGTCAAACAGGTGCAGGGTAAGTGGTGCTTCCTGAAAGGAGTGGCCAGGGCCTGGGGTATTGTGGGAGATCTGTCTTCTTACTAAACCTTACCTTGCAGCCAACCAGGAATACTACCAGCAGTGGAGCCTGGAGGAAGGTGAGCCTTGCGCCATGGATATGTCCACATATACCCTGGAGGAGCTGGAGCACATCACATCTGAGTACACGCTTCGCAACCAGGTTTGCTGCAGCCTGGCCCCTGCACCCCAGCACACCCTCATCCCCACTGCTGTAGCTCCTGAACCTGCTCTTGTTCTTGTCCTCTTCCTAGGATACCTTCTCCGTGGCTGTCTCCTTCCTGACAGGCCGAATTGTCTACATTTCGGAGCAGGCAGGAGTCCTGCTGCGTTGCAAGCGCGATGTGTTTCGTGGTGCTCGCTTCTCAGAGCTCCTGGCTCCCCAGGATGTGGGTGTCTTCTATGGCTCCACTGCCCCATCTCGTCTGCCCACCTGGGGCACTGGGGCTTCTGCAGGTGAAGTGCCCATGTGCTTTTGGGGAGGGAGAGCAGCCCCAGTAAATTCCTGCTGTGAGGGACAAGTTTTCCCTTGCTAGGCTCTTCTCAGCCCAGGAAGGGGCAGAGGACTGAGCTCACTGCCTCTCTCATCTGTTGCCAGGTTCAGGTGCCAAGGACTTCACACAGGAGAAGTCTGTATTCTGCCGTATCAGGTAGGTGACCAAGCAGGAATAGATCTCTCCCTTCTGTTCCCTCTTTTCTGTCTTTGCTGGGTGGGCCATGACCTTGAGGCCAGGGGTGTGGTTTCCACTGAACATCCCTAATACTCTTCTCTCCCTTGCTAGAGGAGGTCCTGACCGGGATCCAGGGCCTCGGTACCAGCCATTCCGCTTAACTCCGTATGTGACCAAGATCCGGGTCACAGATGGGGCTCCTTCACAACCATGCTGCCTGCTCATTGCAGAGCGCATCCACTCTGGTTATGAAGGTGGGTGGGCCAGGAGCTGGCCTGGGGGGTGGGGAGAGGAAGGACTTTCCTCAAGACTGGTGGTGAGGTGCAGGATGTGAGTCTGGAAGGCACCAGCCAGGTCCTTACAGTATTTGGAACAGAAGAAGGAATTATAAGGATGAGGTTTCAAACCTGTTTTGGAGTCAGGGTTGGATAAGAATCTTGAGTTGGGGTAGTGCAAAGAAGAATGCTTTGGTGATTCTCAGTGTTGTTCCTGGTATGAGGCACAGGAATGGCCTAGATCTCTTTTATGGACTATAGAGGCCAGGGCTGAACTGGGAGGAAGACTGCCAGGCAGCCTGGGCCCCAGGCGGAAAGTAGGGCTGAAGAGCTGGACTATTCTGGATGAAACCCAATAGCCCCATGTTTTGTGCTGTAGCTCCCCGGATTCCCCCTGACAAGAGGATCTTTACCACAAGGCACACACCCAGCTGCCTCTTCCAGGACGTGGATGAAAGGTGAGGTCAGGACCTGAAGGAAAGGGGATGGCTAGGATTGAGTGAGGCCATGGTCATCCTGATACCCCCTTCCTTGTCAGGGCTGCTCCACTGCTGGGCTACCTGCCCCAGGACCTCCTGGGGGCCCCAGTGCTGCTGTTTCTACATCCTGAGGATAGACCCCTCATGTTGGCCATCCATAAGAAAAGTGAGTTCCCCTCATCCCACTCTCCTTCCAGCTCTCCTTGGGGCTTCTTAGGTGCCCTATGGTGCTGTCTTTTGGTGGCTTGATGTTTGGGATCTCCATGGGTGGCCTGCCACCTTACACATCTCTCCTTCCTGCTGACCCTTGCCTCTTTTCCTGTTCTTATCAGTCCTGCAGCTGGCAGGCCAGCCCTTTGACCACTCCCCTATCCGTTTTTGTGCACGTAATGGGGAGTACGTCACTATGGACACCAGCTGGGCAGGTTTCGTGCACCCCTGGAGCCGAAAAGTGGCTTTCGTGTTGGGTCGCCACAAAGTACGCACGTAAGTCGGTTGTGCCTCTTGCTGGCATTGAGAATGGGGCAGTGTGGGAAGGGGCAAGACTGGGGATGGGGCTGGACTCACGCACTGTTCTCCACCCTGCAGTGCACCCCTAAATGAGGACGTGTTCACTCCCCCAGCCCCCAGCCCACCTCTGTCCCTGGACTCTGATATCCAGGAGCTATCAGAGCAGATCCATCGGTTGCTATTGCAGGTGAGAGTTGAGGGGGAGGGGTTTGGGAGGAGAAGAAATTGTGGAAAGCAGGCTAGAGACAGCTAACCCGTGCCTCTATCGCATGCAGCCTGTGCACAGCTCCAGTCTTACGGGAATCTGTGGAGTTGGTGCTGTGACATCCCCAGGCCCTCTTCACAGCCCTGGCTCTTCCAGTGATAGCAATGGGGGCGATGCTGAAGGGCCTGGGCCTCCTGCTCCCGTGAGTGACCCTCTCCCACTTCATCCCTCTCGTTGCCGGATCTCATCTTCTGGGAATCAGCATGGGCTACCCCAGAGCTTTGCCTTACCCCCCCCTCACCCCCCCCACTCCCCCCCCCTTCCCTTTTCTCCCTGCCTTTTCCTTCTTGTCTTCTTTTCATCCATGCTTTCAGGTCTCCTTACTGGTGTTTATTTTATTGTGCCTATATCCCCAGGCACTGGCCAGGTGCCCCAGTGCTGCCCATTGTTCTTCTGTGTCCTGCAGGTGACTTTCCAGCAGATCTGTAAGGATGTCCATCTGGTGAAGCACCAGGGGCAGCAGCTTTTCATTGAGTCCCGAGCCAGGCCTCTGCCTCGGTCCCGCCTCCCTGGTGAGTGGGTGATGTCCTGGACCTTCAGCCCCAACTCATTTAATTTTTTTTTTTTTTTTTTTTTGTGGTACTGGGGCTTGAACTCGGGGCCTACACCTTGAGCCACTCCACCAGCCCTTTTTTGTGAATGTTTTTTTCAAGATAGGGTCTCACAAACTATTTGTCCAAGCTGGCTTCAAACTGTGATCTTCCTGATCTCTGCCTCCTGAGTAGCTAAGACTATAGATGTGAGCCACCAGTGCCTTGGCCTATTTAACTTTTTTCCTCCTTGCCCCAGCTACAGGCACGTTCAAGGCCAAGGCCCTTCCTTGCCAGTCCCCAAATTTAGAGCTGGAGGCAGCCTCTGCTCCAATCCAGGCCTCTCTAGCCTTAGCACCTGAGGAGGCCGAGAGGAAAGAAACCTCCAGCTGTTCCTACCAGCAGATCAACTGCCTGGACAGCATCCTCAGGTAAGGCCTGCCTGGTATTTTCTGCCCTGGCCCTGCCTCTGCCCCATCCTAGGCCCTGCCCTTATGCCCTCTGCTCCATTCATTTCCAGGTACCTGGAGAGCTGCAACATCCCCAGCACAACCAAGCGTAAATGTGCCTCCTCCTCCTCCTACACCACCTCCTCAGCCTCTGATGATGACAAGCAGAGGACAGGTCCAGTTCCTGTGGGGGCCAAGAAAGGTAAAGACAGCTCATGCCTGGTTCCCACTGCCCTGTCCTGGTGGCCCTGGGTCTCTATACTTCTGCCTTGGGAGCCCTCACCTTGCTCCGGCCTGCCCTCCTTCCCTGCCTCCTGATCTCCAGACTCCTCCCTATAGTCAGTCCCTCCCCCTCCTTCCTGGGATTCCCTTTCATGGCCTCCCACTGGGGTGGGGGTGGTAACGGTACCATCTCTCCGCACAGATCCATCGTCAGCAGTGCTGTCTGGGGAGGGGGCCACTCCTCGGAAGGAGCCAGTGGTGGGAGGCACCCTGAGCCCGCTCACCCTGGCCAATAAGGCAGAGAGTGTGGTGTCTGTCACCAGTCAGTGTAGCTTCAGCTCCACCATCGTCCATGTAGGAGACAAGAAGCCCCCGGAGTCGGGTATGGGCATGGAGTGAGGTGGGCAGTACCCGGGCCCCACTTGGTCCTCCAGCCAGAGCTCCCTCCTTCCTTTCTTTGCCTTCCCCTTCTAGCACCCAGTGGAGAGGAGGCCTCCCTCTTAGCTTGGGGCTCCTGCTGCTCCCTGACTCTCTACCCTGCCAGCCTCTGAAGGGACTTGCTCCCTTCGCCATTTTGCTTCTTAAATTCTTACTGTCATTTGAAACAAAGTTTGAAGTGTAGGGGGTTCAACCCCAACACCGAGGGTCAGAAGCAAGGGGATGGTAAAGACTCTTAAAAGGGTCTTTGGGTACTGGTATCAAAAAAATGTATAAAGAAAGAGCAAGGGTTGGGCTTGCCTTGCAAAGAGTCTTGTGAAGGTATCCTCCTTGGAGGTTCCTGGCAGGGTAGTGGCCACTGGAGGGGACTGAGTGTCCTCTTTCTTCTTGGACAGTTTTGCATGGAAAGGAGGGTCCAGGGCCAGCTGCTTGGCAGGGAGGTGACCTGGAGACGCATAAGGGGGCTCAAACTTGGCTGGGGGTGAGAGGCCAGGGTTGGTTAGGCTGTTGGACATGGAGGGTGTGGTGTGGATTTGTTGACCCCAGAGATGATTCTGATGACCTTTCCTCTGTTTCACCTTCCTCAGACATCATCATGATGGAGGACCTGCCTGGCCTAGCCCCAGGCCCAGCCCCCAGCCCAGCTCCTAGCCCCACAGTGGCCCCTGACCCAGTCCCAGATGCCTACCGTCCAGTGGGCCTGACCAAGGCTGTGCTGTCCCTGCACACACAGAAGGAAGAGCAAGCCTTCCTCAGCCGATTTCGAGACCTTGGCAGGCTGCGTGGACTTCACAGTTCTACCGTGGCTCCCTCAACCCCTGGCGAGCGAGGTAGCCACCTGGGGCTTCCTCGAGCTGCCTTTTGCCTAGTTTAGGGCCGAATCTCAGGGAATGAGTTCTGAGGGAGATGTTCCTGTGCTGGAACCCAGGCTTGTGCTGCTTTTACCACCAAGGACATGCCTAGGGGCAGGGCTCTTGCTAGCCTCTCCCCACTAGTTCTGGGCTGCAGTCAGAAGAGGGCAGCATGGGGGGTTGGCACAGACAGGTGGGTGGAGGTGCTCTCTTCCAGGTAAGCTACTTCAGGACTAGCTTGGGGGCAGGGGCAGGAGGCATGCCCACCTAGAACTCTGAGCTTCAAGGGTGAATGGAAGGCAGCTCCTCTAAGTGCCTGAGGGAGACCCTGTGCAGACAGCTGCAGGACTCAGGACTCAGGCCTGGGCTTTCCTGCCCACCCTTTCACTTGGTTGCAAGCTAGGCAGAGCATGGCCTCGACTGGCAACAGGAATACCCAGGCTGGCAGCATCTGCAGGATTTTGGCAGAGGGACTGAAGCTACCTGCTCCTTCATCTATGGACCCACTCTGCTGCCTCCTATCTACCAGCGTGCCTCTGTCTTTTGTACATCCCCAGCTTGACCCTCATGTAACCTTTCTCTGGCTCCTTTTTCAATAAACCCCCTGTCCCTGGCTCCTGTGATTCTTCTCTGAAAGTGTTCCCACCTCCTGAGTCCCTCTGTTCTGTGCAGGCTGGGAAGCTCTCTCTGGGGCCCTTGCCTGCCCTCCCCTGTCAGAGTGTCAGGGCAGTGGGGGTGGCAGGAGCACTAACCCCCAGGCTGAGGCCCTTGCTAACCCTAGTCTCTTCCCACAGGCTGCCACCATAGCCCGGCACCCCCTGGCCGCCGACACCATTGCCGATCCAAAGCCAAGAGATCACGCCACCACCAGGCCCCCCGCGCAGAAGCTCCCTATGTCTCCCACCCCTCACCTATGCCACCCTCTGTACCCTGGTCCCCACCACCATCCACTGCCCCCTTCCCGGCGGTGGTCCAACCCTACCCACTTCCAGTGTTCTCTCCTCGAGGAGGCCCCCAGCCTCTTCCCTCTGCCCCAACATCTGTGCCCCCTACTGCTTTTCCTTCCCCACTGGTGACGCCAATGGTGGCCTTGGTGCTCCCAAACTATCTATTCCCTACCCCATCTAGCTATCCCTATGGGGTACCCCAGGCCCCCGCTGAGGGACCTCCCACCCCTGCTTCCCACTCGCCTTCCCCATCCCTGCCCCCACTGCCCCCCAGTCCCCCACACCGTCCAGACTCCCCACTATTCAACTCGCGATGCAGCTCCCCACTCCAGCTCAATCTGCTGCAGCTTGAGGAGCCCCCACGCACGGAAGGGGCTGCTGCTGCAGGGGGCCCTGGGAGCAGTGCTGGGCCCCCGCTTCCCAGTGAGGAAGCCACTGAGCCAGAGGCCAGACTGGTGAGCACTGATCCCCTGTGGCCCCCTGCCAGTTCCTCAGTCCTCAGCCCCTGCCCCTCTTTCTCCCAGTGCCACTTCTCCACTGGTGTCTCCTGGGCTGGTGTCTCAGCTTCTTGGAGATGTTGTCATGGGTGGGGGACCCCAGCTGAATTTCTAAGTGAGGCAGAAATCGGCTGCCTCCTCTGTGAAGGGACCATCCTGTCTGACAGGTGTAGAGGACATCCCAGTAACTAACTTCTGAGAGTGCGTCTGCCACTTGGAAAGGGTCCGGCATCACATCCCTACTTGTCAGCTCTCTCCACTCTCAGCTTGGTCCCATGTCATAGAGTCGGGAGCAGAGACCTCTTGGGTTGGGTGTGCCTCCCCTGCCCCCCCCCAGCAGAAGCAGTTGAAGGGAAGCTGGGTGCTGACTCCTTAACCCCTACCTGTCCCCCTCCACTCCCCCTCCTCCAGGTGGAGGTAACTGAGTCCTCCAATCAGGATGCACTTTCTGGCTCCAGTGACCTGCTGGAGCTGCTGCTGCAAGAGGATTCACGCTCTGGCACAGGCTCTGCAGCCTCAGGCTCCCTGGGTTCTGGCTTGGGCTCAGGGTCTGGGTCAGGCTCCCACGAGGGGGGCAGCACCTCAGCTAGCATCACTCGTGAGTGCCCACCCTCCAGCCTCTCTCAGGGTAGGATGGATGGGAAGTTGGGAAGCCAGGTCCCATCTTGGCTTTAGTCACTAAAGGCCTGGACATAAGGCCTTTGAGAGTGGTCTGGCAGTCAGCCTGACTCCATTGGCCTGCCTCTAACTTCACAGGCAGCAGTCAGAGCAGCCACACAAGCAAGTACTTCGGCAGCATTGATTCTTCAGAGGCTGAGGCTGCGGCTGCTCAGGCCAGACCTGAACCCGGAGACCAGGTCATTAAGTATGTGCTCCAGGATCCCATCTGGCTGCTTATGGCCAATGCTGACCAGCGTGTCATGATGACCTACCAAGTGCCCTCCAGGTGAGCAATTTCAGAAGCCTCTGCCTTGCTTTCAGAGTAGTAGGAACGCCACCCTACCTTCACTACCCTAACAGGGTTAGGGCAGCTGGCTAATGGGGAGCTGGCTCTGACCTGGAGGTGCCTATCCTACCCCTGCCCCTGAGAGCCCTATCAGTAGTTTCTCCCAGGATGAGAGCAGGTGTCCTGGTCTTGGATGTCTCCAGGTTCAGGGGAGCAGAAGGCAGTGGTGAGGAAGGACCCTCACCCACAGGTCCTGTCTTTGGGGCTAAGCCTCTGCCTTCCTTACACAGGGACATGGCTTCTGTGCTGAAGCAGGACCGGGAGCGGCTCCGGGCCATGCAGAAACAGCAGCCTAGGTTCTCAGAGGACCAGCGACGGGAGCTGGGTGCCGTGCACTCCTGGGTCCGGAAGGGCCAGCTGCCTCGGGCTCTTGATGTGATGGTGAGAAGAGAGGGGGAAAATGAGTTTTAAGTTCAAGGAATAGAGGTTAAAGACTGCTCTGTGTTCTTGGATCATTCATTCTTGAAGGATGCTAATCCCACTAAGTTTACTTGGGCAGTAGTAAGCCACATGAGTTTTTGTAGAAGTTTTTTGAGCCCATCCTATGGGAACAGACATTGTGATTGTTACATAGCTGGGTCTGGATAGAGGGTATGTACATTTTCCAACCTTGTTGGACCCCGGGTGCATCTGTGTGTATTAGTTTCTTGGGAATCACCATTGGGTTTGAGGTGGGGTTTGAAGCTGGGCTAGCAGATTCCTAGTGAGGACCTTGCCTAACTCACTTACCCATTCTTCCTCCAAGGCCTGTGTGGACTGTGGTAGCAGCACCCAAGACCCTGGCCACTCTGATGACCCACTCTTCTCGGAGCTGGATGGACTGGGGCTGGAGCCCATGGAAGAGGGTGGAGGCGAGGGTGGTGGTGGTGGCAGTGGTGCCCGTGAGGGTGAGGGTAGTGAGGAAGCCCAGGCCCAAGTTGGGGCTAAGGGATCCAGTTCTCAGGACTCTGCCATGGAAGAGGAGGAACAAGGTGGGAGCTCATCCAGTCCAGCCTTACCTGCCACAGAAATGGCACCAGCTAGAGTTCATTTTAGGGCCATTTCCGACAGTTCATGAAAGGCTTCCTTCTCCCATGTTGCACTTGGTAGAACTCAGATGTGGCTGGACCAACCAATAGGAAACTGCCCCAGCTTCTCTCACTGTAGGGGGCAGGACCCCCATCACCAGCCCAGGATCCAGGGGCTACATCTAGCCTCTTAGGGAACAGAGGGTGGGGGGGAAGCTTTCAGCCCAGCCTGGAGGATTGTCATCTCCCACTCTGGTGAGGAGTACTTTCCTTCTCTGGATAAGACTGCTGAAGTGGTCTTTCTAAATCCCAGCTGAGCCTGAGTCCCAGTCTGAAGGTTGGGGCTGCACTTATTTATTGGGGGAGACAGCTTGCTCTCCTGGCCTTCTCCCCAGATGAGAGGAGGGGAGCCTGGGGCCCAAGCAGGACCCAGGGGTTTGAACCCCTAGCTGCTCCAGGTGGGGGAGGTTGGTGGACCATGGAGTCCCTGGTGCTGCCCCTCAGGTGGGACCCAGGCGTTCTCAGCTCTACCCTCTACCAGTGGCATTTGTGTTTTTGATATTGTCTGTTCTTTTTTAATACAAAAAGAAAAAAAAAAAACATCTGGACTTTGTGGAATGAAGCTTGGGGTCTGGGTGAAGGGGAGGAGTGTCCCATCTTCCAAGAAGATCATAGTGCAAGTGGGCAGTTCTGTGCCTGAGGAACCCCATTCCGCTCCTCTCTACGTTCTTTCCAGCCAAGGGGTCTGCCTTGCTGAGTTTCCTAAAAATTCCTTTAATTCAGACTCTACTCACACCTCTACCCTTACCTGAGCTAGGTTTATCCAAGAAAGGAGAGCAAGCTCTAGTCATGGGCAGGTGACTGGCAGGTGGAAGCCCGCTCAGCCCCGCGGCGTCCTGATGTAAGATGGTAGTTAGCTGCTTTTTAAGGTTCATAATTAAGGCACACCAAGTCCTGCACCCATTCACGGTCGAGTTAGCCCCCAGAGGTGTTGAAGAAGGGAGGAATGAAGTGTGGATTTTTTGGCTCAGTATCTGAAAGGATAAAAAGGAACTGGGGGAGGGCTGAACCGTTGAAGATCCGCCCCAGCTTTTGGGAATGGTCGTTCATTCGCAGGCACCAATTAACGGCTGATCTAGGCATAGACTCACTACTGGTCCGTCCGGCGCCGTGGCTTAGCTGGTTAAAGCGCCTGTCTAGTAAACAGGAGATCCTGGGTTCGAATCCCAGCGGTGCCTCGGGCGGTGAGAAGGCAGTCTATTATTGCTGCGAAGAGAATAAACCGCAACCATCCCGAAGGGTGTTTCTGCCACACCCCGTCAAAAATTCTTCTTATCGAGCCTTCCCCTTTGGGCCTCTGTTTCTGTGCACTTTTAGTATGCATTTGGAAGCTAAGCTCCATTTCGCTTTCAAGATCCAGGAGGCATCTTATCTCACTGTCCCTAACCGTACGGGGGACTGGACTCGGATGTGGGCTCGTTTTGTTGGGGCTATTCTGTGGCTCCGGGAGGGGTGGGAGCACCGGAACGCTGCCACGGCAACAGGACAGGATAGCTGTTCAGGAAGGTCAGCACGTCGCCGCCGAGCCGAGAGGAACCGTGGCGCATGCGCCCAGGCATCTTTGGGACAACAAAGGCGGGGCTGCAGGAGGCAGGCGCATTGATGGGCAGCAATAGTTGCGCAGGGCCGAGGCCGCACGCGGCTGTGATGGCCGAGTGGTTAAGGCGTTGGACTCGAAATCCAATGGGGTCTCCCCGCGCAGGTTCGAATCCTGCTCACAGCGGCGGTGGTTTTGGTAACGGCTACTGCTTCCTCTGTGGGGGAAGAGCAATTTGTTTTCTAGTCCTTTCTTCCTTTGAAGAAGCCGGCGCGGGAACTCAGCCACCCGCGGCCAGCGCGCCATCGCCCTCTAGTGAGGTTCGAGCACTGCCTACCTGCAAAAAGCCTTTTTATTGCCAGTTTCAATTCATAACAACCGTATTATGTTTCCCTAAGCATTCAGCGTCTCACTATACTTCATTGCTTCTCTCACCTCAGACCACGAATCTCTCCTTCACCTCGCCTCAGCTCTACTCCCTGTATCATTGAGAAAATACAGCTTTCTGGATAGTTTCTCGCAGACATCTACAATCGTGCCTATCTACACACCCACCCGAATCTGTGACCATCGTTCTTTCCCCTCTTTACTGCAGAAGAACGTTTCCACTAAACAATGGTCAACTTTTATATCTACCGGATTTCTTATCCGCTTTGGCCTCCATAAGGACATTGATCTCTTTTCTATACCATATTTTCCTTTATGCTGGAGTATAGTCATTGGCCTACAGACATTGTGATTTCTCCATTTAGAACAAGCAAGACCACAAAAGCTACCTGCTATGGCTTGAATGTGTCCAACTGTTCATGTGTTGGAAACTTAATTCCCCAATTCATATGTTAATTGGAGATAGGGCGGTTGGGCAATAATTGATATTACATAAGATCGTAAGAGTGGGACCCCCTTGATAACGGTAGCTTTAAAAGAAGAGGAAGAGAGACCCCAACAAGTTTGATTGCTCTGTCTGGCTAATGATGTCTTGACCAGTTTGTGCAGCAAGAAGACTTGTCAGCTATACCCCCATCATGCTCGTATACTTCCCAGTTTCCAGAATCATGAGCTAAATAAATCTTATAAATTCTAAAATCGATGATCTAACCAATTGAGGAAAAGGCCAGAAAACAGACCAAGACATTTTTGTGATCCCACACTCCCTACTGTCTCTCTGTTTCTCTGCTGTCCTGTACAAGTACGTATACTCATGGCTCCATCTTTTTATCTCCCTTGAACACTCTGCAACCAGACACCCCTGCTCCCATCAAAGCTGCCCTTGTTAAGGTTAGCAAATGACCATCCACTGCAAATCCATTGACCGCTGGTTAATGCAGCCAGCTCCGTGCTTGCTCTCTTCTTTTCACTTGCCTTCTAGCCCACCACACCCTTCTAATATTCCTCCCACTTTCTTAGCAGCTCACTCACAGACTCCTGACCCCAGGATCTCTAACTGTCAGAGTCTTCCCAAGGCTCAATTTTTCAATTGCCTCTCTTGTACGTGTGCTCTCTACCTTATTGATTGCCAGTCTCAGGGCTTTAAATACCAAGCAGTACATGAAATCATCCGAAATGTTCACCTTCAGCTCTAGAATGCTTTCCCAAATTCATCTTCTTCTATCCTATTGCCCATGTATGGTCTCTACTTGGATATCTACTAGGGATCACCAACTTAAAATATGCAAATCAAACTCCTGGCCTTCCTTCTTTCCCAAAGCTGTTTTACCTATAGTCTTTCCATCTCAGTAAATGGAAATTCCATTCCTTAGTCACAAGGCTAAATACTTTAGAATTATCCCTGATTTTTCTTTTTCTCACACTGCACATTGAATCAGTCAGAAATTTTGTTTTTAAACATGTCAAGCATCTTATTGCTTGTTACTACCTTCACTACTACACCCTGGACCAATCTATCTCTCCTAGATTATTATAGTAGTCCCTAAACTACTTCCCATTCTCTTGGGATGCTGGAAATTGAAGCCAGAGCCTTGTACAGGCTGGCAAGCTATAACTTCAGACTCCTGTCTTCTCTTCCTTACAGGCTACTCTTAACACATTGGGCAGAGAGTGATCCCTTTAAAACATAAATCAGATTATGTCATTTTTCTCTTCAAAATGTGCCAATGGGGGTGTTAATATGAACTTGTGGTTTTAATGTGTATAGGTATCAAAATAAATGTATAGACACACAAAATATACATATAGTATACATATGTATACTATACAGACACATACATGTATGTCTACCTGTGACCACAGATGCTAGAAGAAATGATACACCAGTAGTGATGAGCACAGAGCCCAGACCTTGGCTATTAAATACCATTCTCTACTAAAATGAACCAAAGCTACTTGGAGAAAAAGCTGATTCCAGGACTGGCATTGGGGAGTTATCAGATTATCTTGGAACATTGTGTTGGACTAGAAAATAAGTGATCAAAGAATGTCCGGTAAATAACAAAAAGACAGCAGGGATGGGCTGCAGCCCACAGAAATTCCCATTTACTAAATTTGGGCCAGTTTTAGCACTTAAGTAGATAATGATTGAAATGGATTAAAACTCACAGGGTAACATAAGAATCCAGTTTTTAGCAATATAAATAAATAGATAGGGTCAAGGAAAGGAAAGCTCTTTGAAGGGGTGTGGTTTGAGACAGGGTCTCGCTATATATAGCCTACACTGGCTCTGAACTCCAGGTTCTCCTGCCTTGCCTACCCTTGCCTATCAAGTGCTGGATTACAGGTGCGTACCACTCTGTCTGGTTGGAAAGCTCCTTCTTATAGCAAACTGCCAACTAATTACTATACAAGCAGTGCAGGAGTTAGAAATCAGCAATGGATACCAAACTAGTGAGTGAATTTTCAATGAGCTAAAAATAATGGTTTTAAATATCTTCCCCCAAAGCACACATTAATTACTAAAGAAAAAAATGTAACATTACAGTGGAGCCACATGAATGAGGAAAATATTTGGTGCCAGAATGAACCAACCTGTGTCCTCTGATGCACTAAGAAGGACACTGTCACTTCTGTGGTAGTGTTCCTGCCGAAACTGCATAACCCGAATAACTTGACCCTAACTGTGAAGAAAGCATCAGAGAAACCAAACTAAGGGACATTCCAATCCGGGGATGGTGTTTGTGTCTATAATCCCAGCTACTTTGGGAAGTGGAAGCAGGAGGATCTTGAGTTTGAGGCTAGTCCAAGAAAAGGTATAAAGATGCTGTCTCAAAAACAAACAAACAAAAAAACAAGACAAGACAAAACAAAACAAATGGACATTCTATCAAATAATGGTTCTGAATTCTTTAAAACTGTCAAGGCAAAAGCCACAAAGATTTTTCTAGATTAAATCAGACTGAAGAGATATAAATGATTAAATATAATGTGTGATCCTGGATTGAAAAAAGTAAGGCTATCATGGAACAATTGAGGAGATATGAATGTTGATGGATTCAATGAGAGAACTGCATTGATTTTAACATCCTGGCTTTGTACCATTATGCAACATACTTTTAATGTCCTTGTTGTCAGGAAATACACACTGAGTAACTAGAGGCAAAAGGGTATAAAATTTCCATTTTTACCCTCAAATAGTTTAGAAGACAAATATTTTATATCCATATATTAGTTGGAGAGAAATGGCAAAGCAAATGGAAAAATGCAAACAACTGACAGGGGCCACTGCTTCTGTGATAGAGCTCCAAGCATGGATCCCTGAGCTCAAACCGCAGTACTGCAAAAAAACCCTCCAAAAACCAAAAAAGCCCAAATAAAACAAAACAACCAATGGTCTTGAGAAGAAGAATATATAGACATTCCTTGTACTATTTTTGCAACTTTTCTAAATGGTTGAAATTATATAAAAATTAAAATTCAGAGCAGGGCTTGGTGGTGCACATATGTAATCCCATTGACTGTTTCCTCAACAGACTGCACAACCTAAGGACAGAGAACATTGCCTATTTTTGGGGGGGCCATCTACCCAGAGATTAGAATAGATTTGGTACCACAATGCACCCTGTAAATATGTACTAAGCATGAAGGAGTGTCAGAGTCAGCCTTTTGCATCTGGCAGCTTTATAGTTTCTGAAGTGCTTTCACTGCCTCTTCTATTCTAGGATCTGTGATTCTGCCTCTATTTTCTTTTTTGAGGGGAGATGTAGCTTTGGAGGCACTGTACCACTTGAGCCACTCCACCAGCCCTGACTATTTTTTTAATTTTTGGTACCAAAGGCAACTGAAGGAGGCCAGACCCTAAAAGTTTGCTTTGTGGCCCTAGAAATTGTCCACATGGTTCTTCCCTTGGCTCACGGGCCTGATCCTCCCTCTTCCCCACTCCTAAACTCCCAGAGCCCAACCCTCCAGGAACTCTCTTTTATATATATATATTTTTTATTTAATTTAATTTTTATTTCTCCCCCCTGCCCCCACCCCCTCCCTTACCACCCACTCCACCCCCTCCCTCTCCCCCCCCCAAAACCCAGCAGAAACTAGCCAGGAACTCTCTTATCTAGCACCTAGGAAGTCCCAGGAAGTCAG